AGCAATGACATGGCTACATGCAGGGTCCAAGTGTGCCATAGGCTAGAGACCATTCCCAAGGCTTCTGCTTATATACAGGAAGCAGACCATATCCCAAAGGCAGCTTACTCAGCTGCTTGTGGTAGATCCCACCATGGAGTTGATTGCCAGTCTCATGATGGGGATTAACTACCACCAGCTGCCCAGCCACTCAACCAGGCCCAGCCAAGTTGACACACAAACATAACTACCACACACATGATCCAGAAGACTCAGCCCTGAGATGAAGAAAGCCCATCCGACTCTTACCAGACAGTGGTGTGAGCAAGAAATAAACCCTTCTGTTCAGTGCACTGAGATTTCTGGGTTTGTTACCAAAGCAGAGTCCAGTCTATGCTGAATTAAACAGAAGAAAGAAAGGGGTGCATATTGGGGACCATTAGCAGTGTCTACATCAGTGTATCAGTTTCCATGTCTGGAAAATGGGGATAGTAGTCGCTTATACCTTATAGGATTGTGTAGTTATGACATGAGATATTCCACATAAAGTCTCAAAAGACTCCATATGGAAACAATTAGTCCAAGGGACTAATGAACCATGGGAAACAGCTTACACAACAGAGACCAGAACTAGATGGTGTCCGGCTACCAATGTCAACCACTTGGAAAGGGATCAAAATTGGAGATCCTGGATAGAGTGAGAGGAAAAATGTGAAACAAAATTCAAAACAAAAATGACCAAGATTACTGGTTGGATAGAGACTGGTGAAACCCCCAAGACTATGGCCTCTAGTTCCCTAGCGGCCTGGAGTTGGACTTCTCTGACCTCACAGCCGAACAATAGACCTACGAGCTGAACACCTACCCCAGGGAGCTGCACCCCTTGGAACAGTCAACCCTGGGAGATCAGAAGGGCAGCATTTGCACGGGAGAAAGCTCAGCATGCAGGCATGCATAAGCAAAAAGGACACAGGGAAGAGGTGACCACGGGGAGGAGAGATGTGACATCGTGGGGATTGTAACTAGTGTTGTGAAACAAAACGTGTGAACTGTTGAATGTAAAAGGAATCTGCTTTATAAAGTTGGACCCAAATTATAATAAGAAATGGAAGAAATAAAGTCCCTAATCCAGTGCTTTATTGACTATGCAAAGGCATTTGATTGTGTGGATCATGACAAATTATGGATAACATTGAGAAGAATGGGAGTTCCTGAGCACTTGATTGTACTCATGAGGAATCTGTACCTTGACCAGGAGGCTGTCGTTCGAACAGAACAAGGGGACACTACATGGTTTAAAATCAAGA